TGGGAAAGGAAGGATCACTCTTTCCAATCTGAAATTATAAGACCAAAGCCTTGTGTAAGCCAGCTTGTAGTTGAACATTTAAATGAACCAAGTGGAAACATATAATGAGAAGGATGACAGAACCATAAAAGGAGAAAAATAAAATCAAGTATATTATAATCATTGGTAATTTCAGTCACAAGATTGTTGCCACAGAAAATAGTCATCTTTGCCATTACCATTTACATTAATGCGAACAAAAACCGTGTAAAAAAACAATATAATGAAAAAGGAAGTTACAGGTCCAACCATTCAAATCATGTTATAGACTTAGGAAATCAGATTAAATGATAAGTTAAAAATGATTGGATTAATAGAGCTTAAATAAAATATTTTTCACAGCAGTTCCAATAGAAAAGAGCAAAAACTCTTTCTTATATATGCAGCCAAGTGAGACTATCTGCACTGGTACAGACAAACATGCACGCAAATGCGTTTAAAATGTGGTAAAACAAATAGCATTTATAATTCCAATATATGTAGGGGACAAGTCTGTACAACATTATGTTGGAATATATAGGCGAAGAAATTAAAAACAGAGGAAAAAGGCTCAACTCTTGAAGAAATTAACGAAGAAAGCATTGATGATATGTTAAAATAGTTTAAATCACTATCCAACCAATCATAAATCATGTCATGTATGACTCTTAAGATAATTATTATATAAATCGACAAAATTATCATACATAGCAATTTTTGACAGCATAAAAAGTGCATTTACTCCTTACTCTGATAAAAGAGAACAAAAACAGTGTTTTGTTAAGAACGAAGAAGAACTAACCAGTACAATTTTGTTGACCTTCAATTCCACTTTCTGCTTGGATCCTTGACTCTTCACCACAACTCCTTGCACCCACACGGAGGCACCAGTGGTAACCAATCCAGATTCTACCTAATAAGAACATCCACAACTTCAACAGAGAGAGCAACAAAAGCCACAAACAACACATTACAAAAAGCAAGCATACCTGGTCGTAACCTTCAGCCTCGGAGTTCAACACGCATTGCATGTTGGAAAGGCAAGAACCGTCGTTAATCTACACACAATCAACAAAGCACTTAATAACAATGCAAGTAGAAATCCATAAGGATGCTATTGGCAAGGGAAATAAGAGTAAAGCATTGCCTCGATGAAGGTGACGCTGCTCTGAAGGCGAAGCGTGCGAACCCAGCCCTGCACGACGAGGTCGCGGCCGAGCATGTCGGCGCCACCGCCTTCTTTGATTTGGGAAACCCTAAGCTTCTTGCGGAAGTGTTGGACTGTGTTGTGGGAGGTGCGGAGAGTGGCGGCGCAGAAGGAGCGGCGCGAGGGGGAGGGAGGAGGGCGCAGAGAGAGAGGTTTGTGGAGAGAGAGAAAAGCAAGTGCTGTTGCTGCGTAGGGTTTTGCGCGGAGGTGCCTCGCTGCTATTGCTATTGATATTGCTTTTGCGGTGGCCATTTGCTTGTTCGTGCCTCGCCGACCACACCTCGCTCACTCTCCGACAACTCTTATCTCCCTTCAGTTCTTTTCACTATCTAAAACTTTTTTTTTCTTCTTTCTTTTTAACGAAAACATTCCTCCATTGTCGTTTGTTGTTCAATAAAAATTGATCAAACTTTACATTAATTAATCAATAATATTGATTATTTGTGTAAGAATTTAATTATAATTAGTATTTTTATTCTTAAATTATACAGAAAAAATGATTTTTTTTACATATTTAAGATTTATAATGAATAAATAGTAATTAGTATATTAATAAATAAAATTTTTAATATATATGAAGCTTATTTTAGTTTCATTGTATATAATTTGAATAAAGAGAATGTGATAAGAAAATGAGATTGAAAAGGTCAAAAACTTTTACATGTTGAAAAATGTGGAGAGTGAGAATTATTGTTTGCTTGATTAATTTCTCCATGGTTATTGTTAGGTGAAATAATGTTCTTAAATTTAAATTTTAAGTATGAAATTACGAATTTTTTGATGGTTTTGTCCATTTTAAGAATAATTATTTTTAAGGGTGGTAATGAATAGTTCGAATACATATTTTATTGTCTCTATTTCTATTTTTAAATGTATTCTCGTTCTCATACCTAATGTGTATGAGACTTATGTCTTATCTTCATTTGTGTTGAGTAATGAGTGTAATTATATTTGTTTCGTACTGATGTGATTCCTCTTGGAAGCACATGAACTCTTCAAGCCTTCACGGAATTCCTTGGATAAGCTTCAAGGAATGGAGACTCCACAAGGCTCAAGGTGACCTAAGCTAGCGTGTAGCCAAGTCCAAAGAAGAATAGGATTCTAACTCTACAAGGAGAAGCACTCAAGGAGGGTAGAGTAAGAATCAAGATGACTTCGGAGGAGATGAAATTCAAAGAAGAATATCTCATCAATATATGATCCAAAGTGTCACAAACTCTCGGCCAAAAGTAATATATAGGGAAAAATTAGGTTAAAGTGTTCCTTGGGTTAGCCTAAGGTTAAGTGAAACCATGGTATGGTTACTTAACCTTAGGCGCCCAAAATTTGAATTCAAAATTCAAATTTTGGGAGCCAAACCCGGAACCTCCCATGTGCTCATCATTTGGCATGTGATTAGCTTCTCATTTGAATTGCATTTAGATCACACCATGTGCATGTGTGCACATGGCCGAAATGCATATCAAATGCAAGGCTAATTACATGCTAATGAAAATACACATGCAACCTTAATTAACCCTAAATTTCAAATGACCTCTAAATGTAAATCCTACACTACAAGGCCGGAAATACAAGGCCAAAAGAAAATGCAAGGCACTAAGGCCCTCTCCTACACTAACCCTAATCTAATGGGCTTGAGACAAAGCCCAACAAAACAAAGTGGCGGGCCTTCCTTGGGCTTGAGCCCACTCTTCATGCATCATCCTTGCCATAGCCCTAGTAGTTGAGCCCTTAGCCCATGGGTCTCCTCCATCACGTACCTATTTAAAAATTAATTAAATATTTTTTATAAAAAAATATTTTAAAAAAATAAGAATTTCATTACAGAGTAATAATTATAAAATTACATTAATTAAATTTTATTTGACATAAATTTAAAATAGAGTCTGAATTATATAAATGTCAAGAAAATTTTAAAAATTAATTAATTTTTTTTTAAATTAAAGCTGGTATGGTATGAGTACAAGTTCAAGTATGGGCTATACAAGTGTATATTCATCCTCATCCCCATACCTAATTCAATAATTTGAGTATTATCTATACTTGTACATGTACCCGATCAAATTGAGTATTCTTCATCAAAGTCAAGGCTAGTCCAGGTATTACCACAAATACGAATTTACTAGTCATCCCTAATTGTCTTCAATAGATGATACTTATAATTTTTTATGAATAAAATGATAAATAATAGATGACAACACCATGATTATTGGACAAGGAGTCAATAATATTTTGAAAATCTTTAAACCAAGCATGTCTGTCCACTTTTTTTTTATGGGTAATCAAAGTCATATAAAGTGATCGATTTGATCAAAGACTTTACTTGTCAAATTAAGGGTTAGTAAAGGCCTACTATAGAAATTAATTTTTGTCTCTAACACTGGTTGATGATGTATGCTCTCACCAAGTAAGGTTTTAATGGTTTCAACGTGTTGAACCCATGTAATGGGCATGATACTTATAGTTTAAGTAAACATAATATTGACTAGTTTGAATAACGTTTACTTTAACTAACATCATTATATCACACAATTTAATTTTTTTTATGATTAACTTACACATTGTTTCATAATCTTACAGTTATTTCTTTGTCATGGACCTCATGGTAGACATATCCTTGAAAAGAATCTCCAATTTAAACTCTTCCTCCTTTATCTTCAACATTTTCTCCATCAACTTGTTTTGTTCATCCTTGCATGTGTCAATTGTGCCTTGTCTCCATTGAACAAACCATGGTAGATAAAATTAAATTATAAATATTTATGGTCATTATTTGTGCAATCTTTAAAAGTTCTCAATATTTCTTCAAAATTTGAAGGTTAGTTTAAGAGTTAAAGTATTGAGAGAACTTGACAAGAGAATGAAACAAAATTAGAAAATTGAAACATGTGAAAATATGCTTAGATGCTAAGAGTATAGTGAATGACCATATAAAAAATATTTAAACAATGACTAATTTAAACAATGGTTAGTTTTGACAAAATTATCACATTACATGATTTCATATTTTTTCTCCAATTAAGTTATAGAACATTTCATGATTGCATAGTTGTTTCTTTACCATTGCAACTATATATTTGAAAATAGGTTTGTCTGTATTTTAGATTGATTAGGATTAGACCCAAAATGAACCCATTCAACCAAAGCTTCACTTGCGTTGACATTAAAAAGTTGCATGTTAAGTGATTTGTCTCCAACATAATAAAACTTCCACAAGTTAAATTAACCATTCATATGTGGAAGACATAGTGACAATCAGAGGCAACAAGGGTAAACAAAAAGAAAAGTCGTGTATGTAGAATATTTGAGAATTTATATTTTTTTTAATTTGGTTGCTACACTACAAAGTGATAGAAAGATGGGAGCATGTAATGATTTTAATTAACCTTTTAATTTCATCTATTTATTTTAATTTTATTGTTGAAATGTATCTCTCTTATTCTCGCATAAGAAACTCTCATATGGGGTGATATAGGGAATATATCCAATGAGCATGTGTTTTAATACGAGAGATACAATAAATAAATCATAATCTTTAAATTAAAGATAAAATAATCAATGATTAAGATTAAAATTCAATTATAGTTATTTTTTAAAATAAATATTACTATTATATCTTCTTCAACTACAACACTTCCATTACAATCACATCGTTATTGTCACTACCATCGTTGTCTCATGTGACAATGACAATAGTGGTAAAAGCTAGATGGTACAACATTAATGATATTGTTAGCAATATTACCATCGTCACTATTATATTTATTATTGTCACAATTATCAATGTTAACATTGTCACATTGTTACTATGACTAAAATAGTATCATTAGAAAATGAAATAAAAAATTGGCAAAACACCTAATTTGCTCCCTTATAATAATTAATAGTTTCAATTTCGTCCGTCAATAATTTTTTGTTCCAATTTAGTCCCTAATAATTTTAAAAAATGTTAATGTGGGACTTTCTGTCCAAATTCCACAAACGACGTTAAAGGTGATGACGTGGATGCCATGTAGATGCATAAGTGGCATGCCTCCTCTCCCCCTTCTTTAATGATCTGGAACGGCCCGTTTTGAAACCAGGACGACCCATTCTGAAACTAGAACGGCCCGTTCCGCTTGTATTCCTTGTGTGTTAATTTTGCATCTGGAACGGGCCGTTCTAGATTAAAAAAAACACACAAAGAATGCAAGCGGAACGGGCCGTTCTGGTTTCAGAACGGGCCGTTCCAGATCCAAGGAATGTTCTTGAATATCTTAATTCTCTCCATATTGAAATTTTAACCGGGGCAAATTGTGAACCAAGATTGATTTTCTTTAAACTTTTTAATATAGAGTATCGTCTCAATTTGGAGAAATTTAATGGTATCTTTAGATTTCAAACCATAAGGGAAAAAATATGAGATCATTTAATTCATACATGTTTTGGGGGGTTGTAACAGGTCATACACAATGGGAAGCTGGTTAATGCAATTCATCTACATTCGTTATGCTGCCATTAAAATTATGCATAAGTTTATTGCATCTACTATTTTAGATCGTGGCGACTTAGACGGTAAAGTACGCCTAATTGATTTATTATTTATATGGGTAATGATGAAAAATAAGGATGAAAAAATCAACTCTGGTGCATATTTTAATATTTGAATTTATGTTATGCTATGAATTTTTATTTTCAATCTTTGAACCACATTGCTACATTCTGTTGAAATGTAACACTTAAATTTAAACATCAATCCTAGTTGACGTTCCAGAACGGCCCGTTCTGAATCCAAAACAGGCCGTTCTGATTCACTCGTTGTGTGTTACATTTGCATCTGAAATGGGTCGTTTCAGTTACAAAATTAACACACAACGAGTGGGATCAGAACGACCTGTTCTAGTTTCAAAACGGACCGTTCCAGGTTCATTAAAGAAAGACTATGGAAACTTGCTACGTATGTATCTACGTGACATCCACATCATCTACATTTGACACCATTTGTAAAATTTGGACGGAAAGTCTCACATTGACATTTTTTAAATTATTGGGGACCAAATTAAAACAAAAAATTATAGAATGACGAAATTAAAACTATTAATTATTATAAGGGACCAAATTGAGTGTTTTGCCTAAAAAATTTATAATATTTAAAGTGGACATATGTGAAAAGTAATAAAAAAGTAAAAATCTAAAGAAACTAAATAAAAAATAAATAAAAGTTAAATAAGTTGATATAACGAAAATTGAAAAAATGGATAAGAAATAAAATAAAAAAATGTTGATAAGGTAAACGAGAAGAGCATAAGCGGAAACATATATAATTGGAATAGGATGAGGAGAGGCGTTGGCATAGGGAGAAGTTCTCCGAGTGATTCCATTGGCCCTTCTGCGGCGGCGACAACTGACAACCATGGCCGACTCCTCTCAAGACCTCGACCAACTCCTCGACAGTACGCTTTCTTTCTCTCTCTCTCTCTCTCTCTCTCTCTCTGTTTCTCTCTGAAACTGCTTCATTCGATAATTTCAGGTGCTTTGGATGATTTCCAAACCTTCAACCTCAATCCTTCTCTGCCAAGGTTTCTCTCTTCTCCTTTTCCCCTTTTTGTTGTCTCTTTTGTTTCTGCAATTAAATTAGTTTGATTGTGTGTTGGAAGTGGGGAAGCGACGGAGAAGAAGAAGGAGCGTCCTTCGTTGCCGTTGGGGGTTCAGGGATTGGGCATGGGGTTACCTGATTTGGGAACGAAGAAGAAGGGGAAGCAGAAGGCTTCCAAAGATAGCCACGTGTCGGAGGCGCTGAACAAGCTGAGGGAGCAGACCAGAGAGGCTGTCAAGGGACTCGAGTCCATGGCCCCACCCTCTGTCGATGATTTGGGCAAGGATGCTCTCATGGAGGATTGGGTCAAACAGTTTGAGCAGCTTGCTGGCTCTCAGGTTTTCTTTTTTATTTTTCAAATCAATTACTTTTTAATTATCCTATCCAACTGCTTTAACTTTGTTATATTATCAAGTTCAAAGTCAGCCAGTTTTTGTATTTTAGCATTTTCTCATCGAGTCTTACAGTTTCGAGATGTGCAGAGTGGGGGGGATTGGCATATAAGGTTAAAAACCATGCAATCTACTATTCACTAGTGCCTTTGGTAGCCTTTTTTTTTAACATTTTTAAACCACCTTAGTCAATTTTATATTATTTTCTGATTTTCTCGATTGGTGCCACACCAATATCTCCTCATATAAACTCAATTTCTTGTCCTTTCTTGTGTGAATTTGGTCTCATAGTATTACAATAAAATTTTCCTTTGCGCTTGGTTGGTATTTTACAGTCACAAATAACTCTTGTATACTATTTGTAAGTGGGATGTCTTCATTAATTTCGGCATCATTTTGTAATATTGGTCCTAGGAGAAACACTAGGAACGCACTCTCTCTAATTAGTTGAAATTTATCGTAAAACATGAAAGCTGGTGGATCTCAAACCCTATTTAATTATTCTGTTTCCTGATTTTGTGATTTTCAATAAATTATAATCAATAAAAGTGAGTGTATTAAGAGAAGTGTGTTTTTAACACTCCTCTTGATCCTAGATACTTAAACTTGCATGTGGTATAACATCTTCGATTTCTTCAATTGATTACTTAGACTTTTATTAAAGATGTCCAAAATTATATGAAGAGTTCAAGTTGGAATCTATAAATTAGGAGAATCAAAATTAAGAGGATTTTGAACTGTAGGAAATTTGGTGTGTCCCTTTGCTGAGATCTGCTTGGAGAAGTGACTAGTGACAGACGATTGCTGAGCAAAGCAACCATTGATCTGTGCAAATACTGCTTTTCTTTTTTTAAAACTTGAGTTAACTAGAAGACTCTTACGACTTTACAATTCTGGATATAGAAAACGAGTTAACTCGTTGTGAAATGCTTTTTCGGTTATACTTAGATGAACTTGTCATACTTGTGTAAACTTGCATAAACTCTTGTCAAGAAATGAGTCAACAAGTTTGAAATCAAATGCAAGCTTGCATTACTGAAATGTTTTCACTTTAGGAACTTGTGTTTTTATGAATTTATGTAAGATGTGGTCATTTATATAGTTTGATCTTATGTATTACCAATGTACTATCACGCCTTACTGTTATTGGGGTTTGCTACTTTACTTTTTTATGGACTTGAAACTCTGAATTATTGTGTTAAGACTATTATATTATGCACTTATGTCATTAATAGTTTTTTTAGTATTATTTTTTGTATTAGGTAAACTCTTACCAGTTTTCAAGTTGAGTTTATGGAAGTTCTATGAGATTACATAGACTTACGTTTTTGACAGCTTTGTTGCTTTCATTTATAACTTGGCCTTTATTATATCTTCTTTTAAACATGAAACGAGGAGCAAGTGAAACAAACTAAACAAAATAATTTGCCAAGTTTGTTTATAAATTTTGACTGCGAGGAAGCAAGTGATTAAGGTCATCAAAGATATTGTAACTACTTTGCTATTTTGTAATTCTTCATTATGAGGATACTGGATTGACTTTCTTTGTTGGATTTAATGCTAATAATGTTATTAATTTATTTAGGACATGGAATCTATTGTGGAGACCATGATGCAGCAACTTCTGTCCAAGGAAATTCTTCATGAACCAATGAAGGAAATAGCTGAAAAATATCCCAAGTGGTTGGAAGAGCACAAAACCAGCTTAAGCAAAGAAGAATATGAACGCTATTCACACCAATATGAACTGATACGAAATCTTAATGAAGTTTACGAAAATGATTCCGGAAACTTCACCAAGATTGTTGAGCTCATGCAGAAAATGCAAGAATGTGGACAACCACCAAATGATATTGTCAAGGAGCTTGCTCCTGATTTCGATCTAGCCAGTCTTGGCCAGTTGTAAGTTTCCTTGGAATCATAAAAATGCAAGCTTGGGGCATGTTTTGCTGTTTATCACACTATGTACATTAATCTTTATTTACTTATTTTGAAATCCTAATACGTGATTATGCATTGCTTTATTTTTAGCTCCCTAAGTAAATACCAAATAAATGGATGATTTGTCTTACAAATTTAAGTTTTAACTACTAGTACTAGGTGTAAGTTGATTGTTGAGCTGCTGTTTGTAGGGCGATGCTCTACATATCATTCATGCTTATGGTTGATACTCGGTATTTAAATAAATTGGCAACTTAAAAGCTATAAAATTGTCTTTTTATTTTGGTTTGTTATGGGGGTGGGTTAGTAGCATTACATGTCACATTAAATGTAGTAGGAATTCAGCAATCTAACTTGCAAGGAGTTACTACTGCTGAATAGGTATTAAATCATCATATAAAAGCTATAGTTTTGCGTAGATTTGAGTAGACCCTATTTGAGGAATGAACCGCCAACATCAAAGTTTTGATGGTCCAATAGGCTATCTATTCCCTTTCCCATGAGGATACTTTACTATATATTACTTTAGAGAAAGAAAGCGGGTTACGTGGCAGCATACGTTGTCAATCTATTCTTTTAGCTTTACTTGGAAACTTGGGCACTACATTTTTTTTATATCTTGTAGTTTGCAAATTACATTCTTGTATGTGCATCAACTGATTTGAACATTTTTTGCTGCAGATCTCCAGAGATGTTTGATTCTCAGCCAAATTGTTGTATAATGTGAAGCTATTTCTTCCCTTTTACTGTGGCAGCTGCTGGTTTACAGGATCTTAGGAACATTAATTTTCAATTGTCAGAATAAAATAGTTTTATGTGCTACAATGTTTTTCCTTACTACAAGTTTATAAGTTTACAAGGAACCCACACTTGATGCCTCTGTCTAAGGTTGTATATGACGAGGGCTTGTCTATTAAATTGTATCACGAGTTGCTAGTTGCAAACAGAATTTGCTTTCTGATATTTTGAGAATCATTTCCGACCATTCTCGAGATCCATGAATATGATGTCTATAATGAGTAAATGATAAGCCATTTGCAAAACTGAAAAGCACCAATTGATGATCATAAGGAGGCGTAAGCATTGTTAGTGGGACCAACTGCTAGACTGCCTTTGATAAGGGTTAAATCGTAGAAGTATTTTTTTGGGTAAGATACCAGTATTTATCTTGTCTGGAAAGGACTTGGCCAGTAAATGATGCCATAATTAGCCATTTTGTCCTTTATATTATATATATTCGTCATCACTTTCATGCAAAGAAGTACTATGTGAAGGTATCCTTTTTCCCACCCTTGAAGATTGCATTAAATCTAGCTCCAAGGCACGATAAAAAAAATTTCATTCATAATAAAAGAAATAAGAATTTTATTATATTTGAAAGTGACAAGAATAATCAATATACAAACCAGGCCTTGGAGCACATGAGTTAGCTATGAAACAGGCCTCTATCAAAGATTGAATGAATTAATTTTCCTGTGGTTAACAAGGCAGAAAAGGAGATAATGACAAATAATATTGAATTGATTGTAGCTATGCAATTTCTGCTTTGTGTTACTGTGGAGTAGCATTTAGCGAAGCATCAGCGGGTGCAATCCAATGCCTCCCATTGACAAAACTCTTTGCCAGGAATTGATGGGCCGATTCGAAATCTAGCTCTTGGGCCAAAGAGCCCCTACGTATAGCCGCTGCTCCTGGTCCCCAGCATTTGTACACTCCAAAGAACACAGTCCTGTGGTAGAGGAATTCAATATTAATAGATTATAGATTATAGATTAGTAACATTCTCCAACTCTTATTATTTGTGTACATGGTGCTCTGGTGCCAAGAGCACCCAAGAAATTAATGTATGACAGTATGAGATAAAGGTTAGGTGTAGATTAAAAGAATTGATAAAAGTTAGGTCTTAGTACTTGTTACTGTTGTTGGCAGTGTTCCAATCATCCCAACCACCATGTGCAACTATGTCGTCGAAATAGGTGTAGGCATAGACAATCCTAGAGTACTGGCCCATTGCACGGCCTACGTAAACTGGGCCTGTTCCTGTCACTTTGCACCGTACAAATGCGAAGCCCGTCTTCTCGTATGGGGAATTCCTAGCTTGGGCTGCTATTGACCCGAACCTCGTTGCAATTGAGTGTAGCTCGCAATCCTGAACCAATCAATGCTCTCAGTCAGCCCAATAACTAAACAAGAGCCAGGTTGAAATAATTATCTTGTATATAATTTTTCACTATTAAAGAAGGGTTCAAGAAAAAAGAATTATCGAAATAAGAAAAACCATAGAAAAATAAAGAAAGAAAGTAGTATTTAAATATAAAAGAGCTTTGAGAATTGAGCATAATGAAAGTCACGTGTGTGAGTAGGTACAAAAATTCAAAAAGAGCTTTCAATCCAATTTTCAAGCCAGCAAAGCATTATTATGAAACAAAAAGCCAAACACAGTAATAAAGCTGTAAAAGTTAAGTTAGAAACCTGCACTAGTCAAGAAGGCTTGTTTACACCTATAAATATATTTTTAATTTAAAGAGTATTTTTGTTACACGCAAAAATTAAAAATAAAAAAAAAGTGAAGAAAAATAATTAATGATGTACAATATCATGAATTTTTTGACGTGAGTTTGTAAGGCGCAAGAAATCCTTTCTTAGCAAACTGAAGAATTGTAATATACTGATAATGTTTAAAAAGAATGACAAAAGAATCTAAAGTGGTACATGACATGCTTTTGATGAGTGACGAGTCTGGTGAAACAAAGGTAAAAGGTGCATTAATTTATGGCAAGTGGCAAAAAGCTCATACCCTTTTTCATGCAACCATGTCGTGTTCCACAAACTCTATACCCATTTAAAACTGCTACACTACTGAGTACTGATCTTACTCAAAGTGGATCAATCAGATGCAGAAATAATTTATTGAAATGTATTTCCATAAAAATTATATAAGAACAACGTGACGATGAATATATAATTTTCTCCCTTAGAAAAAATTAAAGAAGGGTGGTATGGTAGTAATATATATATATATATATATATATATATTTGTTTATTT